TTGACGGAAAATCATAAAGACCAGAGACCATGACGAATTCCGATACCTTGTAGTATGACGGTTACATATATTAGCCCCATATTAAGTAACATCCGATGAGCATATTCACACTCGAAGTAGTGAATTATCCATCTGTGAGTAGCCTCCACTGTTGATGGTATTATTCAATCATTTTCTTCAATAACGAGCTACGCAGCCTCTTAATTTCATATAAATTTGTGAGAGTTATGCTCGAGTCTTCTGATTAAAATCTTGTTAGAGCCTTCGTCAATTCGAATGATATGTTGAGAGTAAGGAAAACCAGGATAGAATATCTGTTAACAACTCTGATGTAATGTCATATGGGAGTAAGACTTTTTCCTCTTGTTGAATATTGCAGTGGTTAAGCGCAATACATTGAGACTTAACTAGTTTTTCCTGACATTGTTCGGGAACGGAGCACGAAAGGCATATCGATCATGCCCGTAAAAGTTCCGTAATTCTTCTGTACCAAACAACTATTTATTTTTATGTTACTTCTTGAACTCTCCACAAATGCATTTGTCGACACATGTATTTGTATGAATATTTCTTCAATCAAGGCCCATAGTTGGAATACTCTGTATACTAGTTCCATGTCACAAGCGAATCAGATGGATTAAGCATTTGTATTATGGGTTAGAAATCCACTACGTATATCATACTGCTATGAAGATAATTAATGGTATAAGCTATAAAAGATGGGTCAGTTTATATGTGGTTAAGAAATGATAAGAACTAAGGGCAAATCAAAGGATATGAAAGTATAGAACATTCTAAGACTTTCAGAAACTCAGAAACGTAAAACATTGAGCAACCCACAAGAATTCAGGACATTTTGAGCTTTTTTGATCGGCCTTAGTTGATCAGCAACCATTAGATTAGTGAGTTATCTGTCTACTTGTAATAGGAAAAATAAAATAAAAGGACATGACACTCAGGAAGAATAATGTGATTTTAACCATTAGAGAGATTCTGAATCTGAAAATGAGGGTTAGGAGCAGTAGGCCATGATTAATAATTAATAAATATTGGGACAGGATAAAGCATGTGTTCTCTAATTTGGTTATATTCATACTAATAACAATGGTGTTCGTTATATTCTTTTTCCACATAGATATTAGGCGGTCCAAAATAAAGTGCCTCATTGGTGGGCGGGAGTTCAAGGAATAGTTGATGAAGCTCTTTAGAGTCTAGTAACAAGGTTGTTAGCTTTTTAGATTTGGTAAAAGTGTCACAGTTACCGTTAGGTATTGGCAACCTGTTCCACAATAAACTATACTGAACTGTAAGAAACCTACAACGCATTTGTTTTTGGTGTTTTACGGTAAATAGTGTAAATTCATTGCTTCTTAGTCTGTAGGCTGGGTCATTGATCATAGATGGGCAGGAGGTCAGGAATGACAGTCCATTTATTGCTTTGTAGAGAAATATCAGATTGTTCATTAACCTACTGTGCCATAAAAGTTCTAAAGAGAGGTGCTTACATCTACTTGTGTAATCGAGAGTGGAGTCACTTCCTAGCAGTTGGCGTGTAAAGCGTCTTTGAACATCTACTATTATTTTGTCGGTGGTATTCATATTAGAGAAGATAAAAGAGCTGTATTCTAGGGAAGGTCGTACACATATTTTGTAAAGGGTAAGCTTAGCCTCTGTCGTGAAGAGATTTTTTGAAATGAAGCCAATTAGACGTCTAGTTTAAGAAATAATAGAGAGGGCGTGTGCTTTAAAGTTTAGGCTTCCTGTGTAATTAATTCCTAGATCGTGTGCTGAATTAAGTGTCTGGACTTTACTTTTATTTCAGTAAAGTTGAGGTTCATAAGGGTGCTTTCCAAAGTACAAGATCCCGCATTTGTTGAGGTTGAATGGTAATTGCCACTTTTCGCTCCAGATAGTTAGGTTATTGGGATCATCTTGAATAAGGGATACACTTTCACTTAGAGCCTCAGACTTATAGCTGTGTACTATTTTGAGTTCATTAGCATATAAGTATGATTTCCCAGATTTTATGATGTTACATATATCGTTTATATACATGAGAAACAAAAGTGGACCTAATAAATTTCTCTGGATGACGCCACTAGTTATTGGTCTAGGTGACGAGAGACAGTCGTTGTACTTTACCATTTGTTTACATTCCCTTAAGAATGAAACAAACCATGAATAGAGTGGGTTGTTAATCCCGAAGGACCGTCGTTTGACTAGAAGCCTTTTGTGTGGGACCTTATCAAAAACTTTTTAAAGTCTAAAAATAGGATTGATACAAGGAGTCCGTTGTCTCGCTTTAGATTTATGCCATTCATGTAGTCTACTAGATATGTATTACATGACCTGGACCTAACAAATATATGCTGGGAGACTGAGATGAGATTATTAGTAATTAGATGTTGAGCTGTCGCAGCCATAACTACTTTTTCCATCACTATAAAAACCACGGAAGTTACCTTTATGTGTCGTTAATTTTCAACATTTTCTTCAGGCTCTGTTTTAATTTTGGGAATGATATGTGTAGTTTTCCAGGCAGTAGGGTAACGCGCTGTAGAAAGTGATATCGCCAATAGTTTGATTAATAAAACATACATATCATCACCTCCATGTTTTAGCATACTAGCCAGAATACCATCTGGTCCATCAGTGTAGGAGTGTTTCAATGTACTAATTGCCTTAGAGATATTTTGTAAATTGAAGTCTACATTAGTAACCTCACAGGGAGGTGCTGAGATTAGTTCTGAATCATTCAGTGATTCTCCACCAGTTATTGAGAAACAAAAGTGCTCACTAAATAGTTCCGTAACAAGCTTAGGATCTTTGTATACTTGTTTGTCTTCAATAAATATGTTCCCTATCGACTGAGAACGTTTAGGTTTATTTTGAAAGAGTATGGTGAGTGCAGAAGAGTTATTATTGAGTTCAACAGCACGTTTTTCCTGTTCGACTGTATTTCGTGTACTTATTACTTCTGTTCGGACAAGTATTTCTGTCATCGTTACTAAAGAGGAAAAGTCATTAAAATTGTGGAAGCGAGTACAATGTCTTTGCAGACGTCTTCGTGTACCGACCGGTATATAGAGATCTTTAGAAAACTTAGGTCTCCAGTACTCTGAAGGTGCGATTTTGTTGATGATACTTTTGATGTTGTGATAAAATATATTGGTTAGTGTGTCGATTTTGTTTACAGTGAAGAAGGTCCCTCAATCAGTGCTTCTTAGGTAATTTTGGGAGCTATTCTAATCAATCTTGCGACAGTTTCTACGAAATGTTACAGTTTTAAGTCTACCGTCTGCGGTTTTTATATCAAGACTGCATATGACAGTGTTATGGTCATTAACTGAAGACCTTTTTTTCTAATATACACAGTGGGTGAGTCCACTGGTAAGCACTAGGTGCCAGATATTCTGATGTCTGGCAGGGCTACTAACATATTGAGTCCACTGTGCTAGTTCTAGACATTCGATAAATGGTTCATAACGTTTCTGTGCCTTTACTGAAAACCAAGAAACTTCAGGCATGTTGAAGTCACCACAAATAAGGGATGATGCAAGTGTGAGTAGCTCTGATAATTCTGCTATTTCATCTGCTGACACGTTAGGTTGACGGTAGACACAGCCGAATAGTAAGGTAATGGAGTTCGATTGCTTTAAAACAATCCACACCGAATCCTTTAGTTTGTTTAGTTCAGGCATATCACATAATAGTCAGTTTAGGCTAGAGTGAGCATAAATAAGGAATCCTCCGATTAATCCTTTCAATCTATCACTTCTATATAGTAAATAGTTATCAAGAGATATATTTAAATCGGAAATATTACTATTAGTCTATGCTTCAGACATCATTATTAGCGGTGGTTGATATAAGGATAAAAACAAAGCTAAATCCGTCTTTTAATTGCAGATCGACGTAGGATTGATAAAACACATATTAAACAAATGGCCTAGTAAGTTAAAATGAGTGACAGTATTTCGATTAAAGTCGTCATAACCCTCGCGAATTTTATATTTGGTTTTGAAGTGAGGAATTGAATGTTCTTCAGTAGCTCTGTATTTTGAAAGCTAGAGTTAGTGAGGGATGTACCAAATGAGCTAGTGAGTTTACCCAGGAGGAAAGGGTGGGAGTACTCTCTGATGGGAACTGTACGGGGGAAGCGATTTTATGTTCCGCACGTGGTTTGCAATGAATTGTGTTATATACTTAAACAGGGGTGCCACTAGGGGCCTTATTCCAAAAAAATCTGACACAGGTTGACCGTAAAGTGTACTGTTATTCGCAAAATAGTTTTGATGGTTATGCTCGTAGCCTCTCTCATAACTATTTACGTCAGTGTGAGCATGGGGGGGGACTTCTGCACGTAACTGGAAATAGTTAAGACTATCATTATACATGGAAGCCGTTTTTATGTAGCGGGTTTGTACTGAGAGGTGTGGAAAGTTCTCTTTCTGCGAGTAATTTCAATAGCGATCCTGGGGAATATAGATAGGGTGTGAGGTGACGAACCTATGATTACCATGCTTATTAGTGGTTTAAGGTTTTAGAGGGTGAGTGGAGTGACCAGTGCCCTGGCATTTTTTTGTGAGTGTGAATGTAAGAAGGTTTGTTACGTTCAAGCCTACTACCCGTCTTGCAAATTTCAGGTATTGATGGTAAGTTACATGATATCATTGATGTGGTGTACTCAATGCAGACTCTGATAATTCTATCAGCTAATGATGTAAAAATGTCGATTTAAAATACCTATCAGGCTATTAAAGTAGTCTGTTGCAATCACAGTCATATGAAGTTGAACACCAGAATGTTCTGTACCCAAGCAACTACTAAATGCAGTGTGCATCAGCTCATCAATGAACATACTGTCTTTCCAGTCTCCATTGTGTTCAGACTATCCATAACGTTTTAGAAGTTTTCAACTTCCTAATGGCTCTATTACACTTTGAAACAGTTTCTAGATGTTTAAATTCTCTGTAGAGATCTCAGTTGGAAATCTGAAAATGTTATAAGCGTTTGAAGCTAAAGGTATTGGGTCTCAGTCATTATATGAAGATGGCCATTAGTATCATGGTGCACACAGATCACGAGTTTCAGGCAAAAAGAGATGAATATATTGAATTCATCTTCTATCCCGTAACCAAACTCTTTGAAGCTAGTGAAACAAATGACTGAATCGTCGAGTGCCCACACCTTGCGAACTTTTGGAATTATCATAAAATCGTCTCCCACCACTCGAAAAGCTCTTCAGAAGCAGTCTTCTCTCTATTTTAACATAATCGTGTTAAGGTTTAAAGCACTGGAGGGCGATCTGGTTGCTCAAGGTCGCGCCCGGCATGTTCTCCCTTTTTCAGTCAATTTAAAGAGCTGCTCTGCTCCTATTATTTAGTGTTCTAAATCATAAACAACATATTTGTTCTTAGAGCTTTTAAACTCTACTTTACACTTGGAACCACTTAATGTACTTTCAGATCACATCCAATATATTTTCACAACAAATGTCATCGTCATAATATCGGACATTAGTTTACGTATTCAATCCCTGGCTAAGCGCTTATTGCCTACCTTGACGGTCGCATATGTAAATGGATTTAACGTTTCCAAGTCATACATTCTATGGTGTTGAGTTCCCGGCAGTAGTAAACAATGTAGAGACTGCTATTGAAATGCTTGGTGGACTCAGTCAAATATCTGAGGTATGTTATATTCTAGATAATAGTCTCAACGTTTACACAGCATTTTTGAGTGTAGATGCTTATTTTAATTTGGTCATGGTTAACTACATCTGTGACGAGTTTATTTCCGTAATGCGTCCAACATAAAGTCGCACATAATAGCATCATAAATTAAAACTGTTAATATCGCCGCATATATGATACTTTACTTTGTCCACCATTTTTTTAGCTAATAATAAACGGGGGTTATTTCATATCGTATTTGGTCCTCATTTGTACAAGCTATTGGTCTACTATCTTTAAAATCTGCGTTGTCTGCAGGTAACTTAGGATCATATTTTTTATTTTATTTTCAGAGTTGAGAGACAAACACATTTGTAAATGAGAGTTGTTCATGCTTAGTCTAATTATGAGGCGTAAACATAATAAACAGTGATCTACACTACCACTTTTTTGTCCTCGATTGTTGTAGCTGCCAAGAAGTAGCCGCTATCTAGTGTCGTGTATCTCGATTGACAAGATACTTTAATTCTAAGTTCCGCCTTATTACTATACACTTAAAAACGGACTAGTGGGATAATAAAAAACGCTCGTAGAAGACATTGTGTTGTCTCCACATTTCACTAAAAATCCCGCATTACAATTTTCTTCATGTGGAGATATCTAAACATTGCTGATGCTATTTCATCATCCTGTGTCGTAGAACGTGAGGTAACAAGGACAATGGGTAATACTCACATCTGTTAGTTCCAAGCTTATGTACAGTATATTAGCATTTCACACTAAGTTTCCAGAACCCTATCAAATGAACGGATTCTAAACTTGGAATTGGTTTGGGATAAACGGATCTTGTAGCTTCTGACTTGGTGTCGTGTTGTAAAACTCTGTATAGGACTCATCTGTCAATGTGTCACGACGGCGAGACTAAAGAACATGGACGAGCCAATCAGAAGCTTTCGTGGGTTTTCAAGGTTACGGCGCTAAGTTCGGTACATGACGCTTACGTACGGTCGGTTTACAACGGATTTTAGAGAAAACATGATAATTAAGCGTCTACAAGATAAGTTATCATAAGATTTTGGCGCAAAATTCAATTATATATTTGGATTGAGTTGTGGCGTTATAGCTGATGTCAGTTGGTGATGAAAACCCTAAGTATAATTCCTAACCTTAACCATGAACTGTAAATCATAATTTGAATTCTTCACACGGGTTTACAACCCTCATTTAGAATTAGTTATTACGTTGACACTCTCAGATTCACTCTAGCGTCGCTCAAATGTCGTCCATAATTCATAGTCTCATCTTTAACCCTAAACCTTAACCCTAATCTTAAACCCTAAACCATACCAATATACCGACAACACTGAAACTAAGTGGTCGAGGCTGAAAGAATTTTCGGAACTTTATCATGGTTCCACAGGTCGACTACTATGGAGCCACAGGGATGAGTTTCTGTGCCGGTTGCACTATGATTTCAGAACTTCTGAACCTATATCTGACCTTGAGAAGTTTTTGATTCATGTAAAAGAACAGTATCCCCTTTAATTTTTGAGTTTTGTATAATATATTTTTACTGTATGCTAACTGTCTTCTGATTGGCTAATATTTCTCAAGGTCATTAGAGATTCGTTCAAAGGTCGTCCATGTTCTTTAGCCTCGCCCTGTACCCTTGGCTTTCAGTCATTTTTATACAAGTAAAATTCAAACATTCTACTTATGCTATCAGTCGTTCATACATATTATTCTGATAAAACGTTTTATTTAATGCTAGTATTAAAAATAACAGTGTTAGTGACCTGTTTGATAAATGTTGCTTTTTCAGTGTCTAGGTATTACCCTAACCTTATATATTTATTATTTATTTAAACACATAAATACTGGTACAAAGGGGAACCAGATACATATGCGCCTCACAAATCTCACTCGATTTGTGTGAGGGCTAAGATACTGCCCAGGTGCCCAGACTGAAGCAGGTGGTTTTCTTAGTGGGCCACACACGGAGCCTTTGACCTAAAAGTCTGATCCACAAGGCAGTGGAGCATCGTGAGGAGATGCAGTCCCATGGTTTATTTTATTTATTTATTTAAACACATAAATATTGGTACAAGGAAGCACCAGATATATATGCGCCTCACAAATCTCACTCGATTTGTGTGAGTGCTAAGATACTGCCCAGGTGCCCAGACTGAAGCAGGTGGTTTTCTTAGTGGGCCACACACGGAGCCTTTGACCTAAAAGTCTGATACATAAGGCAGTGGAGCATCGTGAGGAGATGCAGTCCCATGGTAGCCGGTGATCAACGGTTGATTCGTACGCAATTTGTTCCTTCAGGATACTGGAGCCCATGTGCACCATTGGTTTGGAATCAGGGTTTTCCAACTCCCCTAGGTGGACTTTCCGTGTTCAGCAATCCGGTTAAAGGGTCGGACATTCATTTTTAATCCTCTCAATTTCGTAAACAACACCCCCGCCACGAAAAGGCATTGAGTAGGGCTTCCCTGGCAGAGACTATATACGCGTGGCCATCTGAGAACATTTCGAGAGGGAGAGCGGACTCTCCTCACTCTCGGCCGTACCAGGGCATTTTGGGGCTTTAACCTAACTTTACGTCTTATGAAGGAATAAAGTATCTGATATACACGAGAGCGATTTCACAGATAATATTATTATAAACCTTTGCACTTTGAGTGGCCGTTTTCACTTTTCTACACAACAGCCACTCGTTCTGTAGGTACACTTTGGCATAACTGTTAACAAATTACTTCCCGTTTCCACCAGTTCATGTTAGGTTGATTTCTATTAACTAGAAAAAGATTTACAGTTAGTTTATTTGTTTTCTATAATCTAACAACATAGGAAGCTGATTTTGTTTCCTAATTTCCACATTATTTGCACTTTCAGTCGTACATTACTCTGTTTATGTATTGGTCTTACAGAACAGAAGTTAATTTTGATGAAATTGATAGATTCTGTTCTTTATCTGCTTATCATGGCATTTCAGTGCTCTATTTATTTTCTACCAGTCTACTCATATTTGTTAGTAATACTTAACATCTTGTTTTTGTTTGTATATGTCGGTTTTCTAACAACACTACTCTGTTGTATCTATCTTATAGCTATGTGTAGAGTATTGTCTTTCTATTTTTCAGGTATTCGCTGACGACAAACGTCGTTTAAATCTCACTTTTCGTCCGCATATGGTGTATTCAAAGCCTGCTTGTGGAGATGGTCATTCGTCCAACTCATTTGTCATACGTATTCAACGTCTTAGGAACAAGGTAACAGGCGAGCTCAAATTAGTTCCTGTTATTCTGGGACGCGTAACTCGGGTTTATAAATTCGATGGTATGGATATTATTTCAATTGTTCAGTTCATTATTAATTTTAACTCCCCCCTCACCGCTGTTCCTCCTCAAATCATATGGTTCGTAGTATTATTTTTAATTCCTGATTTGTATTATTTTCCTACTCCTATTGGTCTCATCAAATAGGGCGCACAGTTCGGAAAGTCATCGCACACCAGAACACCATTTTAATTGAGAGAAAGATAGGAAGGAGTAGTTAAGAGTCCTATTCTCTCATTTGGTTGTCAAAAAACTCCAAGTTGACTCGGATAAAGCTCTTAAAGTTATCCAGCTTATTCCATCAATTTTTCCGTATGGTTCACTGTTATAACTTGACGAAGAATAAATGAATGATAACTGCTAGGAATTATTTATAGACTATTGTTATGTGCATTCTTATTGGATAATTATTAAGTAAGCAGACTATATATATATATATATATATATATATATATATATATATATATATATATGCCAAATATTGATAAATAACTCGAAATACCGATGCTTTGGTTATTAATTTAAACACAAGCAAAATTTACTATTTGAGCAACTTTAAATAAATTAAATGAATGCATTGCAAATTTAGTCCTTATTTTATGTTTTATATGCGGTTAATAATTAATGTGTTGGTGAATGCAATGTGATAATTATTATTTTATCATGTTCCCGGAATTTTTTAAAACCTATTTTCCGGTAATTGTCTTCATATTTATCACAGAACCTGTTTTTATTTCATAATTTAGCCATGGCTGATTTTCAGTTTGGTCCATTTGAGCGTATTCCAACTACAGATAAAAGTGAAGGATCTAAAGTTATTCCACCTAATTATAAAATATTCTACAATGATCTCATAATCAAGGATCCAACAACAATGATTGATTCTTATTTATCTCGTGATATGCCGTTGTATCTCCCACCGGTCTTGTTTAGTCGCCAAGATACCCCAAGTTTTTACAATTTCGCTCCTCGTTATCGCACGACTGAGTACATTCAACTTGAAGAAAAGAGTCATAAACTCCCAGTTTGTAAGTCGTCTGAAGCTTTTTGGTTTTGTTCGAGTATTTTTCAAAGATATAAGTTATTCAAATTCAGATGGCTTTAGATCACCGATGTTAACTTTTTGTCATAGTTTTGAATTCCACTTCTCTTAAGTCCATTTTCTAAGTCATGCATAACCTATAATCCACATAACCTTATTCAGGATCCTGTGAATCGTTACACACGGTATATATTGGATAGGTCCCTAATCTTTTAATTATCGCCAGGCCCTCTATACTGTATATTTTATATTTCCTCTAGCAGTTATTGAGATGTTCCCAGCGACGTTTTTTCTACCTTTTGTCATCCGTTAATAGTTTCATTCATTATCCGCGTTTTTTAAAATAATTATGGTTTCAATCTTTACAGTTCACAGTCGACAATGTAAAATTCTCTGCAAATTGTTTAGTATCCCCCGATAATTACCAATAAACTTCAGACACCATCATGTGATAGGTTTTTTATCAACACTTAGTCACCAAACTTATTCTGTGATCTCCAAAGATCTCACAACAGTAGATTGTGTTATTGTTGTATTATTAACTGAATAAATCAAACAGATGAAACATGTGGATCGATGACTAACGAGACAGTTTAGAGGTCAAGTTAGAAACCTTCAGTAATACCTAGTTTGGTCACCAAACGTTTTTGTTACGAATTTATAACTCTTAAACACTCCTAGATTAAACCTCTTTGAACAATAGACATAAACGAGTTTCATATTATTTAATCTAGCCCTGGTACGGCCGAGAGTGGGGAGAGTCTACTCTCCCTCTCGAAATGCTCTCATATGGCCAGCGAATATATAGCCTCTGCCAGGGAAGTCCTACTCACTGCCTTCTCGTGGCGGGGGGTGTTGTTTACGAAAGTGAGAGGACGAAAAGCGAATGTCCGGCGCTATAACCGGATTGGTGGACACGGAGGGTCCACCTAGGGGAGTTGGAAAACCCTGATTCCAAACCAATGGTGCACATGGGCTCCAGTATCCTGATGGAACGAATGGCGGAAGAACCTGCTGTTGGTCAACGGCAACCATGGGACTGCATCTCCTCACGATGCTCCACTGCCTTATGTATCAGACTTTTAGGTCAAAGGCTCGGGGTGTGGTCCCCTAAGAAAACCACCTGCTTCGGTTTGGGCACCCGGGCAGTATCACAGCCCACACACAATTGAATGAAATGATGAACTCTGTTGACGATTCTATTCCTGCTCATATTATAAGCAAGACAATTTACATTATTATTATTATTATTATTATTATTATTGTTATTATTACTTACCATATCGCTAATTCACCCCCTTTTATCCCCAATTTGTGTAACCTTACTCTTCAACTTATGCAGCAGCTCGCTCTTGGTGGAAAATCTGTCCTATCTAAACGATCTCCAGTCACTGTCTGGTTGAAAGTGAATGCTTCCACCGATTATGAATACTGAGGCAGTCTTTCTGAAACCACGTACGCCGTTCAAGCTGGCTTCCTTCAACGTTCGCACACTAATGCAGATCAGACAACAGATAGGGCTGGCTATGTCTTTGGAAGGTCTTAATGTTGACGTTTGTTGTCTATCCGAGACCCGTATTCAAGACTCTAGTGAAGTACTACAAATCCGCTCTCCATCTGTCGCCTCGAAAAGCTTGTTCCACGTGCGCTTATCCGGGGACCCTGTGGCATCTTCGTCTGATCTTGCTGGCGTTGGTGTCGCACTAAGCGCTAGAGCTGAGGCAGCACTAATCGATTGGATCCCCATTAACAGTCGGTTATGTGCTGTTAGATTAGAAAGTTCCATCAAAGTGAGAAGAAACCGGCGTGAGAAACGGTGTCTTTTCGTCATCTCCGCCTATGCCCCGACAGATTGCAGCCCGGATGCAATCAAGGATGAGTTTTACCATCAGTTAACAGTTCTTCTCCAGAAAGCGCGTTCGACAGATATTGTAGTACTAGCCGGAGACTTGAATGCACAGGTCGGGCGTCTAGGCACAGAAGAGAGTCGTTTAGGTGGCCGATGGGGACTTGTTGGTCGCAGGACAGATAACGGGGACCGTTTGCTGCAACTGTGCACAGACCACAACCTGTTTCTGGCCTGCACCAACTTCCGGCACAGTCATCGCCGGTGTGCCACCTGGCGTCCTCCCTCTGCATCCCAAGCCTGGACTCAGATTGATGACATCGCGATCAGCTACCGCTGGCGTGGTTGTGTACAAGACTGCCGCTCCTTTTGGAGTACCTATCTGGAGTCTGATCATGCCCTGGTCTGCGCCAATCTCACCTTACTTTTCAGTGGCCGAAGGATTGACCACCACCAACGGATTGATATTAGTAAACTGGCTGCAACTTCTGTTGCAAGTAAGTATCGAGCTGAGTTAGCCTCTAGGCTAGCTACCACCCCACCGAAAAGTATAGACGAGCATTGGTTGCATCTTCACGACGCCATGAAAATGGCGAGTAAAGCCGCTTGCGGCTTCGCGAAACGTCCCGCTTACAAGCACTGGGTTTCTTCTGGCTCCTTACAACTGATCGAAGCCCGTCGGTCTACTCCACAGACGAAGGCTGTTACGTAATGACATCGGGCAAAGCTTGCGTAAGGACCGGGAAGCCTGGTGGTCGGAGTGTGCTAATGAGATGGAAGCAGCAGCTGCATCTGGTAACTGCCGGAAGCTCTTCCAACTCATCCGAGCCACTGGCAGAAAGAAGTCTGGTGTGAGTGAAACAATCTACGAGGATGACGAGATGCCAATCACTAACATCTGTCGACGTCTTGGACGATGGGCGGAATTTTTCGAAGGGCAGTTCAACTGGCCTGCTGCTCCGGCAACATCAACCAGCTTGTCCTGCTCCCCATGGCCGGTGACGACTGATCCACCAAACGAGGCGGAAGTCCGCAAGGAACTCCAACTCTTGAAACGTTACAAATCACCGGGCCCAGATGACTTACCTCCGGCTCTTTTTAAAGATGGTGGTGACCTTCTGACTAAGGAATTGACTGTGTTGTTTGGAAAGGTTTGGGAGCAAGAAAGTGTTCCAACATCTTGGAATGAGTCAATAGTCGTCCCTATCTTCAAAAAGGGTTCACGTTGTTCCTGCAATAACTACCGGGGGATAAGTCTACTTTCGATCGCGTCCAAACTATTGGCTTCTATCATTCTTCGTAGGTTGTTTAAAACCCGAGAACGATTGACTCGCGAGGAGCAGGCTGGTTTTCGTTCTGGTCGAGGATGCATTGATCACATCTTCACCCTCCGCCAAATGTTAGAACACCGTCATACTTATCGCAGGCCAACAATCGTAGTGTTTCTTGATATCAGGGCTGCCTTCGATTCGTTGGACAGGACTGTTCTCTGGGATTGTCTATTGAAGAAGGGTGTGCCTGAGAAGTTCATTAACATCTTAAAGGCCCTGTATACGAACACCTCAGGCAGAGTGAGGGCATACAACCACCTTTCTCCCTTGTTCCATTCGAGCAGTGGGGTTAGGCAGGGTTGCCCGATCTCCCCATTCCTCTTCAACTTTGCCATCGATGACATCCTGGAAACAGCTCTGATGGATGTAAGTAATGGCGGTGTGGATATGTTGCCTGGAGAACGACTTCTCGACCTTGAGTATGCGGATGATATTGTCTTACTGTGCGATAATGCCCAAGGCATGCAATCAGCACTTAATCAGTTGGCAATCAGTGTCCGCAGGTACGGCATGTGCTTTGCACCCTCCAAGTGCAAAGTACTTCTACAAGACTGGCAGGATTCTCATCCTGTACTCACCCTGGATGGTGAGGAGATCGAAGTAGTTGAGAAGTTCGTGTATCTAGGTAGCTATATAAGTGCTGGTGGTGGCGTGAGTGATGAGATTGATACACGTATAAGGAAAGCCAGAGCGGCTTATGCCAATCTGGGCCATCTTTGGCGCCTTCGTGATGTTAGTCTGGCTGTAAAAGGTCGGATTTACAACGCGTCGGTGAGAGCAGTTTTGATCTATGCTTGTGAAACCTGGCCTCTCCGAGTTGAGGATGTTAGACGTCTCTCTGTGTTCGATCATCGTTGTCTCCGAAGGATTGCTGACATACAGTGGCAACACCATGTTAGTAATGCAGAGGTTCGGTATCGTGTGTTCGGGCGCAGAGACGATAATTCAATTGGTGTCACCATCTTGAAACACCGACTTCGGTGGCTCGGACATGTTTTACGAATGTCGTCCCACAGACTTCCGCGTCGTGCATTATTTGCCGACCCTGGGACTGGTTGGAGAAAGCGGAGAGGAGGTCAGTGTATGACATGGTGTCGTGGCATGAAAGAAAGCTGCAAAGGGCTAGCTTTTGTTGGTCCTTCACGACTCCCTGGTTGGGGTCCGAGAGATAGTGCAACACAGTGGCTAGAGACGTTATCGGATATGGCTCAGAATAGAAGCCAGTGGCGATCCTGCTGCAACCTTCTTTTACTTTCTACATAAAGAATGGTTCTAACTTTCCTAACTGAAAGAGTCTTCTGGTTGTACATTTCAGCCCGCCTTATCTTTTCATCCTTTATCTACCTACTTTCATTATTTTGTGTGGCGCATATGTACCTGGTGCCCTTTTGTACCAATATATATGTGTTTAAATAAATAATAATAAATAAATAGATGGTTGTTAGATGTATAAATGAAAAATTGACTGTGTCTGTACACCTTGCATTTGCTTTTGGTATTCATTTTTTGTTCACTATTATGTTCTCTATGCTTATTTTGAGTTAAGTTAATTGTAGTGAGTTATTTTTCTTATTATCATCTATAGCAAGAAAGGCTCGACCGACGTTTGGATATCTAGTGAACTTGGATGACGTAACTCCTACTTCTCCTAGGCCTGGAGCTATACAACGTGTAATAAATCTTGGACTATCTGCTATTCAAGTAAAGGATGAGATTCAAAAAGTGTGTTCTATATTTGGTTTTACTGTTTCAATTTAAATTTCGATGAAAGTTGTTGTATTCTCTCTTAAGGAGGTTACCTTTGTATTCACCAGAAATCTTTGGTTTTTAAATATGTTAAACATACTTTATCATTATGTTACTGTCACCTAGTTCCATTTTAGCCAGCTTATAAGCAGTTAATAGGCAAAGGAAGGTAATCAGTTTATTATTTTAGTTAATATTGGCTTTAATAATACAATTTAGGATAAATAATTCTTCTAACTTTGACAGCTTGCTTTATGTATGGTTACCTGTTTTGTTTCATCTATCAGTGCAATGTGATTTTATCGTTGTGATCTTGAAAGTTTACCCTAAGAAGCTGTTTATGTTCATGCCTATGAAGTAAACTTCAATCATATTCATTAAACTATAATTTAGTGATTCAATTACTTTCAAACTTCATGCTTGGATAATTCATTCAATCTGCTTTTGTTGAGCTATAAATATCCTGCCTAATAAATAAATGTTTTATTCACTTAGCTCTTCGATGAGAGACCGATTTGGATGCGTCCAGCATTGGCTTACCACATGCCTGCAGATACTCGATTTATTTATTTTACTCAGATACTTCCTTCTGTAGCTTACTATATGATTCGTGGACCATGGAGTCGAGCTTGGGTCCGGTATGGTTACGATCCTCGCAAAGATCCCGAAGCTCGCCGTTATCAAGTATGTTTATAAGTTATTTAGTTAGATATGTTTAATTTACATATTCATATATTTCTTTGTAAACTATACTTTGTTTTATCAGTTTATGTAATGTCTTATGCCTGGAGTGTTGTTTATAGCTTTAGTTGCATGATTGTTAAGTCTGTGAGCTAATTGGACATGTATGGTATACACAAACGTAGTTTGGTCTAAACTGAATACTGTATTTTAGGATTGATATTCTTTTAATCATTAGTATCTTCACCCAAGAAGTTTGTGTAACCTGTAACAGTTAAACTGACTTTGATGTTATTTAGCAACTCTTTAATTAAAGTAGGATAGGAATGGTTAGTGCAACTACTTTTCTTTGACATCTCATTTTCTCATGCTCTTTCCTGTAACTTACTGAACTACCTTTAGCTTTACATCAAACTAATGTACCGAATTTGTCTAAATGGTGGTTTTGATATCTGCTTCTTTATTACCGACTCTCATTTTGGTATTATTATTTATGATGTAGTTGTCCAGATTAGATCGTTGTCTACCATATTATCAAGGCAGATATGGCTGTCACTTAATACGCGGTAGTATTCACGTAGATATTTCCAGTGATCTCAGATTGTTTTTGTATCAGTTCTTCGGATCTGCCCTGGTACGGCCGAGAGTGGGGAGAGTCCGCTCTCCCTCTCGAAATGCTCTCATATGGCCACGCGAATATATAGCCTCTGCCAGGGTAGTCCTACTCACTGCCTTCTCGTGGTGGGGTTGTTGTTTACGAAAGTGAGAGGATGAAGAGCGAATGTCCGGCGCTTTAACCGGGTTGGTGGACATGGAGGGTCCACCTAGGGGAGTTGGAAAACCCTGATTCCAAACCAATGGTGCACATGGGCTCCAGTATCCTAAAGGAACAAATGGCGTACGAATCAACCGTTGATCACCGGCTACCATGGGACTGCATCTCCTCACGATGCTCCACTGCCTTATGTATCAGACTTTTAGGTCAAAGGCTCCGTGTGTGGCCCACTAAGAAAACCACCTGCTTCAGTCTGGGCACCTGGGCAGTATCTTAGCCCTCACACAAATCGAGTGAGATTTGTGAGGCGCATATATATCTGGTGCTTCCTTGTACCAATATTTATGTGTTTAAATAAATAAATAAATAAATTAAATAATCTGCGAACAATAATTTGATTATCTATCTTCTATATTATTCATTCAGTTTCCTTCTATTGGGCAGTTGGTTAATGATTGAGATATGACATAGGTTTCCACAGCTTGCTAGTAAATACACTTCACGAGACAAGTTAATTGTTTTGTGTTGTGGAAGTCCTCTCACTTCCAAATAAACGGAATTTCATTACGCTTGTAAAACTTTAAAATACTGTTGTGTATATTGGTGAAGTCTTTTAAGTCAAACCGTCCTGGTTAAGCGCCGTAACACAATCAAAAGTATCCGTCCAAGATACGAATTTTTTCTACGATTTTGATACACCACCTATTTCTGCTTGACCCTTTAGTTATGTGAAATAAAACTCACGTTTTGTTAATACCCACCTGGCTTAACCAGTTAGACTGTTTGTATATCTTGCAAACATATTTTTTTATATTTTAGGTAATTGATTTTCGAGTACAAGCTTATATGGTTGTACGTAAATTATTATGTCATTCTTCATCAAGGAAACGAATGCTATGCACGGATGCGAATAAACGAGTTTTAGCGGATTGTCGTAAATCTTATGAATCTGTACATTCCAGGGAGGATAGTTTCTTTGACGAACTTTTGAATAGCTCGAAGAAATCTCAAGAAGATAATATCGACTACGATGGAAATGATGAGTTAGATCAGACTATTATTGATGATGCTGAGGATGACGATGCTGATGACAGAATACAAAAAAGTTTAGGCAAGGTGTGTTTTATATCTTCGCTTGAATGTTTCTTTCGGGAGGGACACTAAAAGATAAATTATAGTTTTTTATTTGCCTTTTCTTTGTACGGTTTTTTAACGTTAATAATGTAACTCATTCACCAAAGGCATACTAATATCGTTGATTTTAAGTCACACTTTGTGTGAAGGTTAATAAATGCTATCCGGATGCTCGGACTAACATAAGGAATTCAATTTAAAATTACTGGGAATTATTAGAATGCGAAATCTTATGCATTTCATTTAATATTACTGTATTGTACCAAGGTTTAAACTATAATTCGAAATCTACATTTTTACTCTTATTACTTACACCTGTTACCCCTCGTGGAAGAGCATAGGCCGCCCACCTGCATTCTCCATCCAACCCTGTCTTGGGCAATCCTTTCCATTTGTTATTCATCCTTTTCATATCTGCTTCTATTTCCCGGCTTAATATGTTATCTGGCCTTCTTCTTTTCCGCTTCCATTCAGGATCCCAAGTTAGGGCTTGCCTCGTGATGCAGTTTGGTAATTTCTTCAATGTATGTCCTATTCAATTTCAACGTCTTTCTTCTTTATCTGGAGGCTGTTTTGTCCTCTCCCACAGAAGGCTGTTGCTGATGGTATCCGGCATACGGACATTCAGTATTTTGCGTAGACAACTGTTCATAAATACTTGTACCTTTTTGGTGATGGTTGTAGTAGTTCTCCTCGTTTCAGCTCCGTACAGTAGAACTGTTTTGACGTTCGTATTGAAGATAGTGACTTTCATATTGGTTGACAGCTGTTTTCGGTTTGATATGTTCATCAGTGTAGGAATGCTGTCCTTGCTTTGCCAAACCTTTACGTCCTTATTCGATCCCCCCAGTTCATCGATGATGCTTCCCAGGCACGTGGAAGTTTCCACCTCTTCCAAAGTTTCTCCACCAAGTGTGATTGGGTTGGTGTTTTTCGTGTTTTATTTGAGGATTTTGGTTTTTTCTCTTGTGTATGATCAGTCCTACTGATGCAGAGACTGCTGCTACATTTGTTGTCTTTTTGTGTATGAGATAGGAGGGCTAGGTCATCTGGGAAGTCCAAATCGTCTTATTGATTCTGAGATGTCTATTGTATTTTTTAGTGCTTCCTTTTCAATGTCGAGGTTTTCATAATCCAGTGAATCACCAGAAGAAAGAGGAAGGGGAGAGTAGACAGCCTTGTGTGACCCCGGTCCTTACTGGAAACGCATCTGTCAGCGTTTACTCTTATACAATGTGGATATTTTAAACGCTATTGATGTCAGTCTTTCCTTTTCATTTGTAGTATTAAAATTTAGTTGTTAGATTTTTTAGTCAGCGAAAATTTTATTAGGCTTCAATATATGATTACTTAGTGTGTTTAGTTTTAATAATACACACACGTTCTAATCTGTTAGAGTTGACTTCATAAGTGTGTGCTTTGGTAATGGCTAGCAATGAGACCAACCACTTAGATTTCGTACTTAAACTAAGGAAGGCTGTGACAACCTAATGTCTTTGTCAGGTTACTTATATTTTCATCTTAATAGGTATTTTTGTTACTGTTCATTCAACATGTATTTTCTGTGCATTAAACTGGGTCTTCTCATTATCAATAGAAATCAAGTGAACTATGAAATGTAATTCTCACTATCCCACATAACTGAATGTTTGGTGGAACATGCCCCCAAATGCCCTGGTACGGCTGAGAGTGGGGAGAGTCCGCTCTCCCTCTCGAAATGCTCTCATATGGCCACGCGAATATATAGCCTCTGCCAGGGTAGTCCTATTCACTGCCTTCTCGTGGTGGGGTTGTTGTTTACGAAAGTGAGAGGACGAAGAGCGAATGTCCGGCGCTTTAACCGGGTTGGTGGACATGGAGGGTCCACCTAGGGGAGTTGGAAAACCCTGATTCCAAACCAATGGTGCACATGGGCTCCAGTATCCTGAAGGAACAAATGGCGTACGAATCAACCGTTGATCACCGGCTACCATGGGACTGCATCTCCTCACGATGCTCCACTGCCTTATGTATCAGACTTTTAGGTCAAAGGCTCCGTGTGTGGCCCACTAAGAAAACCACCTGCTTCAGTCTGGGCACCTGGGCAGTATCTTAGCCCTCACACAAATCGAGTGAGATTTGTGAGGCGCATATATATCTGGTGCTTCCTTGTACCAATATTTATGTGTTTAAATAAATAAATAAAATATATAAAAAATTCATAAGGTAAGTCTATAGGTCTTCCTGAAAAGCATCTATAGATAACAAAATTACCAGCCATTTTATGTTGAAGCAATAAGATGAACATTATTCTAACCAATATATTACGGCCGATTCTAATGAAGATCTGTATTTAAATCAGAGGTATTCTGATACAGACATCCTTTTATTTGTAATTTAAAGGAATCGCAAAATCAACTATGTCTTATACTAATAAGAAGTCGGAGTCACTGAATTTTGCCTGTTAAGTATTGGCTTTCGTAAAACAAAGTAATTAACCATCCCCTCGTTACTACCCATTATCTATTGCTCATCGTAGATTTCTTTTTTCCCCGTTAAAATACTTGCTACTTCATATGGAATTATAACCTTATTTGTCCTTTAAAATTATTGTTACTTAGGTTGCAGATTATCGTTTTGGACCTAATAACTGGCCAACTACACATCAAGTCCGTTATTGTCTCTCAGATATAGAGATTCCTGAGGTACAAGCGATGTTAGAAGAAGTACCTGAGCGAACTGAAATTGACCCAGTGGATGGCTGGCTCCGACCTGGAGGTATCAAAAAAATACGTGATCTTTTAGGGCAATATTTAAAAAAGTGGATATCTGAATCAGACCCAACACATGCAGATAGTGGAGCCGAGTAATGACACTCCATTTTGCACTATCTATTGCTTTAATGTATCATGATTTTGCATTTTGTCCAGAATTTTTCTTTCTTATTTATACCGTTATAACAATTTTCACTTAACATTGTGTACATATTTCTATTTTTCTTCTTTGCATAGAGTTTTCTTACCATCCTTATACTTTGTTATACATTCTAACGAGGATATATTTTGTCTCAGTTCAATATCTTTATTTAATGGTGTAATTTCCGATGGAAATTTACCTTATCGGTATTGTCTTCACACTTTTTCTCATTGTTCATTATTTTGTAACTGCAAACGTTCCTGTGTAATTTCCACTCTAAAAAATTATACGTAAATGTGTTTTGTTGAAGTCGTTTTCTTATATTACTTTGTTTGTTTGCATTGTATGGTGATATTAATTAACTAACATTCTGTATTGTGTAACAATTACTGTTTAGCGCAATCTTGCCAGCCAAAAGCAAGAAACGTCGGATTGTGTTGATAAGCGGTATAGGCTGTACATATATGGCTGTCATGACTCAACAGGGTGGTTAACACTAAATGGTCATTAAGATGCACGTGTATCCAGCTGAAAAAAAGTCATCAAAATTTGTGCCACTGTTATATTCAATTAATTGTGAAAGTTGTATTATATATCAAAGAAAGCTAGAACTAAGTTATAAAATAAGGAATTCGTTTATTACTTTTCATGTCACTTTTGTATGGGTTACATATTTTCTGTTGACTAATTTTGAATGTTTTATGGTAAAAATTATAGTTTTAATCACAATTTGAAGAAGTCCTTAACCAATTATGAGTTCATGGTTGCGGGCAAATGTTGTATAATTTAATTATGTAAACTTTAGATCACAGTTTAAACACTCAACTGACTGTTAACACCGGTTTGGTACTTCATCTCTTCAATCTAGACTTTGAGTCACCCTTTGACTTTAAAGAATATCGTATACAATGAAAAGCCACACTGTCCAGATGAGCATTTGTTCCTATCTCTGACGTAGGACAGTTAAGAGTCGAAATATATTCTCCTCTAAGCTGACGTTTTATTCAACAAACGACTAAATGGTATGCACTACGTCGTCATCATTGCAACCTTGTAATAAAGTAACCTTCAGGTTAGAATGTTCTTAATTCGTCGTAAAGCATCTTCAAGATAGCCTTTTTAGTAGCTATCTTACATATCCTCAATGTACAGTAGGCCATGTTATCAAATGAGACAATTGCCTTATTCTTCCTTAGTTTGACTTTTATTTGTCTAAAAACTGAGTTTATTGACTCGATAATAAAATGCGTTATAATTGCTTTGGTAAACTGTATTTCCCTAGGGAGTATGCCTGGTTAGCAGGTTTTGGTACTCATTTGGACCGTAGAATTATGAAGTGTATTAGCTTTCTACTACATTTATTTATCGGGTTTAAAAGTACGTAAGATATTTAAACAATTGTTATTGCCTCATAAAAATGTGATCAAACTTAGAACATAGTCAACAAAGTTTTTCAACTGATCGTAATTTTGAAAAAGAAAGGAAGGAGTAAATAATAAACTTTTGGTTATTGTTTATTTATTTGCTTATTTGAACACAAATATTGGTACAAAAAGTCACCAAACACATATGCGCCACACAATAACAATAAGAATGTGAAGAGATAGAAAAGTGTAAAGTGCGTATAAGAAAAAAAGGGAACAATAACGTACAGAAATTAATGTATGACAGTGATATAATAATGGGAGGGGCGGTTCAGTTAGCAAAGGTAAAACAAGAAAGAATTCTTCCAGTTAAAGAAGCTACGTCCATTTGTTATGAAGAAATTTACAGTAGGATCGCCGCAGCCATATCTGATGACGTTTCTAGCTACTGTGTTGCGCCAACTCTAGGACACCAACCAGGGAGTAGTGAAGGACTAACAGAAGCCAGTTCTGTACAGCTTTGTCTCATACCACGACATTATATCATACGATGACCACCTCTCCGCCTTTTCCAACCAGTCCCAGCGTCGGCAAATAATGCACGAGGCGGAATTCTCTGGGGCGACATTCGTAGAACATTTCTAAACCACCGAAGTTGATGTTTCAAGATAGTAACACCAATTGAATTATCGTCTCTGTGCCCGAACATACGATACTGAACCTCTGCATTACTAACATGGTATTGCCACTGGATGTCAACAATCTTTCGGAGACAACGACTATCAAACAATGAGTCGTCTTATATCCTCAACTCAGAGAGGCCAGGTTTCACAAGCATATAGCAAAACTGCTCTCACCGACGCGTTGTAGATCCGACCTTTTACGACCAGATTAACATCATGAAGGAACCAAAGATGGCCCTGATTGGCATAAGCTATTCTGGCTTTCATTATACGTAAATTGATATCATCACCCACGCCAGCACTTATACAGCTACCTGAATACATGGACTTCTCGACTACTTCGATCTACCCACTACTCGGTGTGAGTTCAGGTTCAGGGTCCTGACAGACTTGTAAAATCACTTTGCACTTCGAAGGTGCAAAACACATACCACAACTACGGACATTAATTGCCAACTGATTAAGTGCAGATTGCGTGGCTTGAGTATTATCACACAATAAGGTTATCATTTGCATACTCAAGGTTGAAAGTGTCTCTCCATGCAACAGATCCACACCGCCATTACCTACATCCATCGATAGCAAAGTTGAAGAGAACTGGTGAGACTGGGCAACCCTACCTAACTCCGCTGCTTGAATGGAACAATGGAAAGAGGTGGTTGTATGCCTTCACTCTGCCTGAGGTGTTTGTAGTATATAGGGCCTTAAAAATGTTAATAAAATACTCAGATATACCTTTCTTTTATGGACAATCTCAGAGAACAGTCCTGTCCAATGAATCGAAGGCAGTCCTGGTGTTAAGAAACACTGCGGTTGTTGGCCTGTAGTAAATATGTTGGTGTTGTAACATTTGTGGGAGGGTGATATGATATGATCAATACATCCTCGACCAAAACGAAAGCCAGCCTGCTCCTTGTGAATCAGTTTTTCTCGGGTTCTGAACAATCTGCGAAGTATGACAGAAGCCAATAGTTTAAACGCAATCGGAAGTAGACTTATCCCCCGATAGTTGTTACAGGAACGACGTGAACCCTTTTTAAAGACAGGGACAACTATCGCGTCATTCCATCATTTTGGAACACTTTCTAACTGCCAAACCTTCGTAAACAACTCAGACAGTTCCTTAACCAAAAAATCACCGCTATCTTTAAAAGAGGCCGGAAGTATGTCATGTGGGCCTGGTGATTTGTAGCACTTCAATAGTTGGAGTTCCTTGAGGACTTCCACCTCATTCAGTGGATCATTCATCACAAGCCATGGAAGGCAGGGCAGTCTGATCGATGTTTCAGGGGCATTAGACCAGTTGAACTGCTCCTCGAAAAACTCTGCCCATTGTCCAAGTTGTCTATAGATGTTATTGATTATCATCCCATCAGATTCACAGATTGTTTTGCTCACACCAGACTTCTTGCTGCCAGTGGCTCGGATGAGTTAAAAGAGCTTTCGGCAGTTACCAGATGCAGCGGCTGCTCCCAACTCATTGACACGCTGCAACCATCAGACTTCTCGGTCCTTACTCAGGCTTTGCCCAATTTCATTACGTAACAGTTGTCGTTTGTTGTCAAACTCACGGTCACCCGGAGTAGACCGATGGGCTTCAATGAGTTGTAAGGAGCCTGAAGAAACCAAGTGCTCATAAGTGGAACGTTTTGCGAAGCCTCAAGCAACTTTACTTGCCATTTTCATGGCATCATGCAATTGCAACCAATGCTCATCTATACTTTTCGGTGGGATGTTAGCTAGCCTTGAACCTAGCTCTGTTTGACTATTAGGTGCAACAGAAGCTACAACCAATGTCCTGACATTGATCCGTTTAGGATGATGAATGCTTTGGTGACAGAAATGTAAGGTAAGATTAGTGCAAACAAGAGCATGATCAGAGTCCAGATACGTACTCCAAAAGGAGCGGTAGTCTTGTACACAACCACACCAGCGGTAGCTGATCGCGATGTGATCAATCTAAGTCCAGGCTTTAGATTAAGCGTGAGGAAGTCAGGTGGCTTATCGGCTACAACTATTCCGGTAGTTAGTGCCAGCCAAAAACAGGTTTTAGTCTGCGCCCAGTTGCAGTAGATGGTCACCTTTAGTCAACAAGTCCCCATCGGCCCTCTAAACGACTCTCTTCTATGCCTAGACGCCTGACCTGTGCATTCAAATCTCCGGCTAGTACTACAATATCTGTCGAACGCACTTTCTGAAGAAGAACTGTTAATTGGTGGTAAAACTCACCCTTGATCTCATCCGGGCTGCAATCTGTAGGAGCATAGGCGGGTATGACAAAAAGACATCGTTTCTCACACTGATTTCTTCATACTTTGATGGAACTTTCTAATCTAACAACACATAACGACTGATAATGGGGAAACAATCGATTAGTGCTGCCACATCTCTAGCGCTTAGTGCGACACCAATGCCAGCAAAACCAGATGAAGATGCCACAGGGTCCCTAGATAAACTCAATCCAACCAATGTTATCAAACCATACTAAAGCGAAGTCTATGTAATCACGTATACACCATACTCACAAATCAATCGGCGGAAAGCAAAGTGCATTCATTGTCTACACATCATCTGACGCCTGATTGGAGCTGGCAAACTAGTTGGTTTGTTTGTATTGATCCAATTTTCACCGTTTGTCAGGTTTCTGGAATGCAAGCATTCTCAGTGACCCTCTGCAATAGTTGGATTTCTCGACCTTAATGGGGGATTCGTATCCGGTGATCGGAAGATATTCATCATTAAAGGTGTCACGAAAAATTAAACAAGCCTTTTCAGAATTCTCTAAACCAACTAAGTTGTTTGAACCATAACTTATGGCACAATATCGGAGCTATAGTGTTCGTCTGGGCTACCCAATTTCCCCATTCTGACCTATTTCGTGGTCTTAGATGTTCTAGAAATCAAACTTTTTGAAACTGTTTTTTCAGGGATTGGTCTCTTTGAAAACCTATTCATCTTTTGGTGCACGCAGATGACATATTCCTCTTTAGTGATAACGTTGATGAAATACAGAGTTCTTTAGATGTCTTCCTTAACAGAAGCATGTTTGAAGTGAGTTGCTCTCCATCTAAAGGCGAAACATCGGCTCCAAACTGGTCTGTATCAACTCCTAGACCGATTGTAGGAAGCGAAATCGTTGAAATCAATGAGCACTTCACTTTTCATTGAAATCTCGTCGATACTAGTAGGTTGATAAGGTGGACGGATTCAGAAAGCGCACTTGACTTTTTTTGGTCACTTGTAGTATAGATATAATTTTC